GAGTTCCAGGGGCCACTGGGGCGCGGCCCGAGCGCGGAAGCCGTGGCGACGCCAGTATGTGGGGTGGGGTGGGGGTGGGGGGGTCGAAGACGCGGTTTGGTGGCAGGACAGAGGCGGTCGGGGGCGGGGGCGACGCGTTTCCAATTCCAGCGGGGGGCGGGGGGCATGAAGGGGGGTGGGCGTGGGGGCGGGGGTCGCGGCGACGAAGCCGCGGCGCGCGTGAGTTGCGCCCGGCAGCGGCAGCAGTTGTTCCCCAACCCCGTTGTTCTTCGCGGTTCTCACTGCCCGCCCCCCCCCCCGAAGTCATGCTGAGTGATCCCGTGTTGCCGTTAGCAACGTTGGAGGCCAGCTTGGGCTCTCTGGGGGCCTCTCGTCGCTATCTTGGGCACTCTTGGAAGTTCCAGCGGATCGCGCCTCCCCACCTCCTTGTCCAGATTCAAGGAAAAGGGCGGGGAGGGGCTAGCGACTAGCTACTAGCTGATTAGTTTTTTGTCCAAGGGGGGAAATGGGGGTCGTCGAGGAGGACGTCGCGTCACGTTTGGCTGGCGGGGGCGCGCGATGCGTCGCTGGCCAAGTGCGCGTGGATCCCCAGTGAACCCGCGCCCGACTCAGCCCCCCCGACGCCCCGAACCCAACCCTGACGCCCCAACCCGACCACCCGAACGTTTCACGCAGAACGCTTTAAACCCCCAGCCCTAGCCCGAAAACTCCAGCAGTTCCCCTGGCATCTACCCCCCTCCCCCTTCCCTCGGGCACGTCGCGCTGCAGTTCTCGTTGCCTGCCACTTTTGTCTTTTCTCGGGAACGTCGCGCCATGGGCCGCTGCCTGCATTAGGCTGCTTTCATGTTGTACACGGCGCCATCGTTGTAGTACGCGGTAGGCATGCGCCAGCCGCGCGCGCGCATCCATCATAACATTTTTCCTTTTTTGTTATCTGTTCAGGCAATTTGCCCACTTCAACTGTCAAGCACATAGCACGAACGCAATTCTTTCGCGCATTGTAATAAGTATTGCTTGTATTTTTAGGAGCCGACAGCCCGATCGATCGTTCGAATTTGGGGCGTGGCCTGGCGGGCTGGGCTTCCTAGTGCTCGGAGGTCCAGGGACCCCCCCCCCCCCCGAGGTCCAGCGAGTCGGGAGGCAACCGGGGTAAACCCGAAAACGGATAAGGAATCGGGAATAGAGGGGAAGGGGCGGGGCTACCTCCTTTTCCTTTTTTTTTTTTTTTTTTTTTTTTTTTTTTTTTTTTTTTTTTTTTTTTTTTTTTTTCTCTCTCTCTCTCTCTCTCTCTCTCTCTCCCTCGCTCTCTCCTTCCTTCATCTAGCCTCCTCCTTCCTTTTCCCTGTCTCCTCCCTCCTGTTTCCTCCTTGCTCCTCCTTCACCCTCTTCTCCCCTGCCTCTTTCGCCCCCTCCCTCGTCGCCCCCTCCCCTTGTTTCATGTTCATCCCTTCTCTCCTCCCCCGCTTCTTCTCTCCGAGAACTCAGGGCCGATCCCTCTCCTGCGCGCTCGCTCCTCGTTTTCTTCCTTCGCGCAATTCTCCGTTTTCAGCCGTCCGCCCCTTCTCCGCCCATCGCCGCCTTTAGCCGCCATCGCCCCCCCCTCCTTCCGCGCGCGCTGCTTTCTTGCCTCGAGGCAGATGGGGGGGGGGGGGGGGGGGGGGGGGGGGGGGGGGTGGGGCAGTGCGAGTGAGGAGAAGAGGTGGAGGAGGGCGAGGAGGGCGAGGAGGATGAGGAACACACTTGGCAGGGGGGGTTGGAGGGGGGGCGAGGGTGGGCGCGGGGGCCGAGGAGGAGGAGGAGGAAGAGAAGAAGGAGGATGATGAGGAAGAAGAGGAGGAAAACTACGAAGACGAACGCCAGTGCCCCTGGTGCTGCTGATCTGCCCTCACATGCTGCTGCTCTGCCCCTCATGTTGCTGCTGCTGCCCTGCCCCCGCCCGTCCTGCTCCTCCTCCCCCTTCATCCCTCTCCGCCCCCTCCTCCTCCCCCCCCTCGGCCGCGGCCGCGGTCCAGGCAAGCTGCTACCCGCCCCCTCTCAGTTGCTCGCGGGTGGTCTCTCTGCGCTGTTCGCTCCGCACTTCTGTCTGGGAAGAAGAGCAGGAGGGTGAGGGCGGAGGTAGGGGGGGAGGGGGGCCGATGGCAGTAAGATCGAAAAGGGGAGGATGAGGAAGACAGGGATGAGGAGGAGGAGGAGGAAGCACATGATGAGGAAGAGGGGCAGCGTGATTTCAAGTTTTCATTGCGTTGCAACGTTATATGTCTTCTTGTGTGCGCGGCGATAACCGCGCTCCGCGCGTCGCGGTCTGGGCCAGGCGGAGTGATTTCTCCCGTGGGGGCGGCGCGAAGGCGCGAGGGTGGCCACCATTTTTTCGAGCGCGCGAACGCGGGGGCGCGATGGCATGAAGGCGCGAGGGCGCGAAGGCGCGATTTTGCGAAGGTAGCAAACAAGAGCGCGCGAGGGCGCGAAGATAACACAACATGTGCAACGCTGCAACGCATTGTGCGGGTGCGAGCGTGCGAGGGCCATGCCTGCCGCACTCATTATTGTCTCTCTTGGCGATGGCGCACTCAACCTCCCAGTCTGATGGACCGCCTGCGCCGAGCCCAGGCACTTCCGCTGGCCCACCACCCGAGCACCCCGATGTTGTAAATGTGGCAGACCCGACGCTCACGCCCGATTCCTCGTCCTTGATGGCAGCTCTGTTGCAATCTCAGAGGAAGGTGAAGGAGATTCTCGAAAAGAGCCAGGCGCTCAGGCGCAGGCTCATTCGCGTGAAGACGAAATTGAAGAAGGTCCTCGATTCGATCTCTGAGATACTGTGTACCACCGGCCAGACGGTTTCTGATTAGAGGTGAGCCCTGCTAGGTGTGCGTGCGATGCGTGCTAGGCCTGTGCCAGGGCTACGCTTTGCTATGCGTGCGATGCTGTGCAATGCGCTATGCCATGATAGGCGTGTGGTGCCATGCTATGCAATGCTGGGCTGCACCACTCACGGGGGAGATGCTATGTGCTATGCCATGCCATGCCAGGTGCTACCCGCTGAATGATATGAGCCTTGCGCAATGTCATGCTACGCAATGCTGGATGTTGCGATGCTATGTGTTAGTTGTGCTGATTAGGGGTATGCGGTGCTATGACAGGTGTGCGGGGATTCACGTTGATATGTCAGGTCGCAGATAGCGTTGCGCAGCATTTTGTCGCCCGCGAGGGTGCCTGTTTGCCAGCAGCCCCAGGAGCTCGCAGCCGTGCGAGCAACGTTCCCGAGCTTGCAGGCTTTGTTGTGATGTCTGAAAGAATCTTCCGCCACCCTCCCCGCGCATGTCCTTGCGTAAATCTGGAGGCTTCGCGCATCCCGCCCCCAGTCCATCCATAAACAATTCGCCAGGCGATTTGAGGGGTTGAGGAGAGAGGTGCCCCGGGGGTCGCTTGGAGTCATCTTTTGGCTCTCTTGGGGTCCTTTCGCGGCCATCGTGGTGCCATCTTGAGGCTCTTTGGGGGGTATATTGTGGCCCTCTGTGGGCCCTCGTGTTGGTCTGAGAGATCCCTTGGGGTCGCCTTGCCCTCCCGTGGTTCAAAACAAATGTTGATAACTAAGGCAGGTTCGCCTCCCCTGGGAGGCCCAATCGCGCCGTCTTGGGGCCCTCTTAGGACCCTCTTGGGGCTCTCGGCCGCTCGCGGGTCGTCTCGGGGCCCTCTTGGGGCCCACTTAGGGTTATATTGGGCAATATTGGCCCCGCAATAGCGGGGCCAGATTGGGGCTTCGAACGCCCATCGGCCGCGAAGGCTAGAATGCGAAGCACATTGTTGTTCTGTAGGTCCTGGAGCCATGTTGGTTTCTTGGGGGGGGGGGGGGCGAGAGTGCTCGGCAGGCACTTGGGGCCATCTCGGGGCCGTCGCGACGCCTCTTGGGCGTGCGTCGGAGGCTACCGTGAGCCATCTAGATGTATATGGACCCATCTTGGAAGCCATCTTGGGTTACCCGGGGCCCTCTTGAAATTATCTTGGGCCATCTTGGACGCCCTAAACCTGCGCGGGGCGCCCCTTCATGCCCGGGGGAGGCGGTGGGGGAACTGGTAAACGCCCGAGCAGGGGCATGATGCGTGCGTCGGAGGCTACCGTGAGCCATCTAGATGTATATGGACCCATCTTGGAAGCCATCTTGGGTTACCCGGGGCCCTCTTGAAATTATCTTGGGCCATCTTGGACGCCCTAAACCTGCGCGGGGCGCCCCTTCATGCCCGGGGGAGGCGGTGGGGGAACTGGTAAACGCCCGAGCAGGGGCATGATGAGGGCTTTGGCAGAGAGAAGGCGAAGGCCGTTAAACCACCAACGCAAAGAGGGTTTGTGAGATTAGCCCTTGCACATGGTCGCGACGCGGGGGCTCGGTGGCCCTCGACGGGCCCACCGCCCTCCTCCATCCCCCCTCGTCCTGCACCCATCGGCAGCAGCACCTCTTCCCCCTCCCATTGGTCATAGCCATTTCGGCGATCGAAGCTGCCAGTGCCCACCAGGGGGTTAGCGTGTAAACATGTGCCCGAACTACAAGTAGCGCTGCGCGGCATGGCAACCGCCGCTGGCCGACCGAGGTGGCCGATGCGGCGCCAAGGGCGGCAGAAGCAACAAGGGCAGAGGTGGCGGAGGCCGCGGGGCCAAGAAGCAGGACAACCCCAAGAGGGCCATGAGTTGCGACATGTGTGCCCTGACCGATCGGGGCAGACAGGGCGGTTCACATTTGCCGCATCGACGCCGATTCCCTTCCCGCGCCCCTCAGCGCAGGGAGGGCTCATTCCCCCTCCGCATCTTGGCGTTCCCCACTCTCCTTCCCCGCGCTCGGGGGGGGGGGGGGGGGCATTGCCCTGACATATAGTTGCGTGTCCTTTTCCCGTTCCCCGCGCCCCTCAGCGCATGGGGGGGCGTGACTTCGCCCGATTGTTTTCGCCTGCTACCCCCTTCTCGCCGTCTGCGTTTCCGATTGTTCCCCCCACCCCCCCTCCCCCCAGGAGTGCAAGATCCTCGAGGTCACGGGGGGCGCGGGAGCTCAACGCATGGAGCGTCTCCTCTGCGACGCCGACGTCGCGTGCGTTGGGTGCCTCAACTTCGTCTGCGCCGAGCTCCCTGGCAAGACTTTCGCGATGGCCGTGGCTCACTCGCCCATGGGCGTCATGGACCAGCTGTTCGAGAACCGTGCTACCCCGAGCACGGCCTCCTCCTCGGCATCGCAGGTCGCCCGCGGCCTGCCCCATATTGCAGAGCGCGGACATCGGACGCGAGTTGTGCATCAAGGTGCTGGCGCTGACGAGCGCCGACGTCCAGAAGGAGTTCGGGAAAACGCCCAAGACGTTGGGCGTGAAGGGCGGCATCGCGTGCCTACGGCCAAGCCCGATGGTGGTGTGCCCATTCAAGCTGACCACCGAGAGGATGTCCACGTAGCCGTCGCTGAAGATATACCACCGGAACTCCGTGGCTACGCAGGCCAACTCCTGCAGGACCGACGCGAGAGGGCACTTCGACGCGCGCGCTGATGTTTTGTTGGCAACGACCACGGGCAAGACTGGCAGCTGCGATGGTGAAGAGGGACAGGCCACGCTCAACATGGGCATCCACTCCGCTATTCCGACCTTCGCCAGCATCACGGACCGTCGCGACGCGCTGTCGGCAAAACCAGTTCTGGGGCGATTGACGGCCTGCTCCCAGGAGGTGAAGATGATGAAAGTGTTGAAGCTGATGAGCACATGGGGGGGCCCGCCCAGCGGGCCTGGCGGTGATGATGAAGATCCCGAGCGCACCCCAGGGGCAGGCGCTTCGTCGTCGAGTGCGGACTGCTACCTGGTCAAGGTCGGTGGTCTTAAGCGGCAGCCTTCTATGCCACCTCCACCGTCGATTCGAGGCCGCAGCGGGAGGGTTGCCAAGACCCCCCGCGCTTCTGACGACGACGGCCTGAACCCGCACGTGGTTGGCACCGTGGGCTATTGGATCTGGGAGCCGAAGTTCGAGAGGGCATTCAACGACTACAAGAACGGGCGCGCGGAGAACCAGTCCAAGATCTTGCTGCTCAAGCTCAGTGGCAACGACCGTAAGAAATTGCAGATCCACAGGGACCTCGACGACCTGGCGAAGCGCTTCAGCCCCAGCGCGTGCAAAACCTACACTGACGATGAGCTGAATGCGAGGTGGGCGGAGCTGAAGAAGGCGGGCGCCACCTTCGCGAGGCCTTGTCTCAAAGGCCTCGCCAAGAGGAGCGTAGCCAAGATCTGGAAGGAAGTGGGCGATGCTGAGAACGCGGGTCGAAAAAGATATTTTTTGCAGAAATTCTTCAATGCTGCTGCTCCGTGGGTGGACCCTGGCGAAGTGGCTACCGACACCATCCAGCCGTGCGGCGCGAAGCTTGTCCATGCTTGCGATGACGACGCCGAGATCGCAGAGTATTTCATGGACTGGGTGTTCGGCGACAACTTCTGTGAGCTGCTGGGCACGGGCAACTCCAGGGTGAAGGGCGTGCTGCTATTCGTGGAGGAGGCAATCGCTCATTGGGAGTTTCTTCCAGAGGACGCGGTGTTTGGGGGCGAATTCTGCGCGGTGCCTTCTCGAGGCCAGCACTTCGGCAAAGATCATCCGGGCTCTGGAGGCCAAGGGTTTCTCGTATGATTTGAATCTGGAGATCTTCGAAACCATCGGCGCCATCGAGTCCGAGGCCAAGCGCGCCATCGGCGGACAGAGCGTCCTGAGGCTCGTTGGGCAATCGCTGCTGACGCTGGCAGGGGACTACTGGTCGAATAAGCTGACCTGGGTGAACGGGCATTCCAAGGCGCTCCAGGAGCACGGCGTGCATCTGCAAGCAGCTCAGGCGGAGCTCACGGCGCTCTCCACGAACTCCGTGCCCACTAAGGCGGTCGGCGAGAGCTTGCTGAATATTGCGAAGGAGATCCCCTACTGGGACGTGCGGATCTACGACGGCGTGACGGTGAACGTGAAGGCTGCGTTGCTCGAGAAGGCGGTCAAGCTGTGCGGTTTGTCTGTGGCGGGATGGGGTCGTCAACGGCAGTGCAGTTGCCGTTCAGGACGCGCCCGACGAGAATCCAGCGGCAGTCTTGTATGCCTTCAGGGCTTTGTTGAAGGTGATGTCGACCCTCTTCCCAGCTGGTGAGGACGTCGAGAGGTCGGCACAGCAGATTGGCGGCAAGCTCTTGGACATGGATTTGGCAAGCAAGCGCGCCATCGTCATGCAGGCTCTTCGCGACTGGCAGGCCGACGGCGAGAAGTCCCGCCGCCTTCGCGATGCACTCCGCGACTGCCACGCCAAGGAGCTGCCCGACGATGTCCGCGAGAATTGCTACAAGTTGTTCGAGAGCGTCGTGCGGCAGGCAGTGGAGAACCCACCGGGTGGCCCGATGGTGCACGTCGACGGCTCTCTGTGCGACACGTTGGAGTTTCTCGCTGGCCGCGCGCCAGCTTCCCAGCACGACGCGTGCACGAAGGTCTCGGCGATGGTGAATGCGGTGTGGCGGACGCTGATGGCTTTCAAGAAGTTGAAGGACGTTTCAGTCGATGCTGATTCTGAGGCCCCGCCGTCCACCTCAGATCAGCGCGACGCCCTGGTGAGTGACGTGGTCAGGGCGCTGCAGAAGTACGGGATGAGCTCGAGGCCGACGCTGCTGGATCGATTCGCCGTGGGTGCGTCTGAGCTGCTGGCAGGCAGGGTCGAGCTGGCGAGGAACTACATCAAGGATCTCGGGGCGAAGACTGCGCAGGACATCAACGTCGAGATTGACAACAAGCTGGCGGCGCTGAAGACTGCGATGCAGGAAACCACTGGCATGGTTGAGTGGGCACTGCGGTGCGACGCGAACGTTCGCCTCAACGATATCGCGGCGCCGCTAAGAATGGGCCCGTGGACGCGAACTACTCGGACTGGCCGGACAGGGGCGGCTTGCTCGATGCTGGCGCGGAGAAGCTCAAGGGCAAAGCTGGAGAGTTCGGCATCGCAATCGACAAGGATGAGCTCACCGCGCTCGAAGCCGAGCTGTTGAAGATCAGGCCGTTGTGCGTCTGCCTCGAGCTCTGCCGATATTTCGGCGACGCCAACCTGATGGGAAAAAAAAAGTCGAGCTGCGGTCGAAGATGACGACAGTGCAGGCGAAGATTCGGAAGTGCAGTATTTCGCCCGCGGACCTGCCCGACCCTCTCACGGCCCGCTACCGCGACGCTCTGAAGATGAAATAATAAGGTAGCGGCATCTGCCGCCCGAGGCTCGCGCCAGCCTCTTCCTCTTGGGGCCTCGCCGCATAGGGCGGCGGGGCGGCGGGTTCGGAGCAAGCCCGCCCGCGAGCTCCCTGGGGGGCGAGCGGGCGCCCAGCCCTGGGAAAACAAGAAAGGGTGTCACCTGTCGCTTCCCCCGTCCTCGCCCCTGCCCCTTCTGCTTCCCCTGCTCCGCCCTCTATCCCAGAGGCTTGCGCCATTTCTCCGACCCCCAGGCGATGGGGGATGTTCGCGGGTGAGTCCAAGCTATTAGGGAGGTCTTCGCGCAGTATTTACTTACTTTCGGCCTGGGGCCTCTTGGATCTTCGCTGGGATCTCTTGGGAGGGTTTTCGCGGGCCTCTTGGAAGCAGTTTCGAAGCCTCTCGGGTGCCGTTTGGGGGCCTCTTTGGGGCGTCTTGGGGGCTTATTTTGGGCCTCTTGGGGGGTTATTGGGGCCGCTTGGGGAGCTTCCTGGGCGCTTCTTAGGGCGGAAGGCTAGAATTTTCGCTTCGTGGTCCTCCTCTTGGGCCCCTGTTGGCGCCGTCGATGATGGTGATGATGATGATGGTGACGGTGACGCTGATGGTGACGATGGGGATGGCGATGATGATGGCGATGAGGAGGATAACGAAAGGAGAAGGTGAGGACTCCGATGAGAAGGAGCATGGCGAGGAGGATGATGAGATAGAGAGGGGCGAGGCAGTCGTGACGATGATGGTTTAGAACAAGATGGCAAATGCCGAATTGGAGAGCGATGTTGTTAAGTGGGATAATAGGGGCCAGGGACGGGGGGGGAACGGTCGGAGGAGGCGAGGGGGAAGACGATGGGTGAGAGGGGATTGGGGTTGAGGGGGGCGTCGGGGGAAGGGGTCGCGCCGTCTCCCCCCCATCCGCCTCCTCCCCTTCCCTCCTTATGGTTCCCCTTCCTCGTCGGGTCGCGCTCGCCGTCCTTGCGCTCCTCGCCCTCTCCTCCTCCTTGTCCTCCGTTCACTATTGTCATCCGTTCTTCTTTCTTCCCCCTTGGCATCTTTCGCTGTTCGTTATCCCTCCGACCACCTCCTCGTCATCCGCCCGGTTGCCTTGCGCGTCGACGCTCTCTTCTCGTTCGCATCGTTGGGCCCCGATCTAGCGCAGCGCTGTTTCGAAGGCATGGGTGGCGTGTCTGTGATGAATCATACGACAATGTTATAACAATAATATATGTTCGGTAGCTTTTTAAAAGGTATGTTTCAAGTATGTTAACCTATAGTTTGGGAATATGTTGTTGAGTATGTTTCAAACATTTTCATGCATATGCATTGTTTGCACAGTGAAGCGGGACGCGCTCCATATAACCCTGGCAGGACCCTTCTTGGGCCCAGGAACTATCTGTGCGTGCCCCCCTGACCACGCTAGGAAGGCGAGGCGTGTGCACCGCCGCTGGCTTCGGGGTGGGCCAGTCCTTCCTACGGGAGGACGTTTCACAAGTAGTGAACATACAGTATGGAAACGATGTTTGGCTTTCTTTTTGCCGCTCTGCTTGTTTTTGTCTGACGTTTCGTCCAAAATCCGCTTGCAGGGGGACTTCGTAGCCATGTTGGCGCAAGCGCCCCGGCCCAGGCAGTTCGGCCCAAAGCGAGGGCGCTGACCGCCAGCATGAGGCCTGTGCTTGCCGCCGCGTGTCTGAACGCCTGCGGGGTCGCGGCAGCGCTTTCGCTGCTGAGCCTTTCGGTCCTGCCGAGGAGGAACTTTCCCTGGCCGGGCCTCGTCGCCCTGAGGTTTCCGACGGCACCAGCGGCGCCACCTTCGGATACCGCTGCCAGCGCCGCCGCCGCGCCGGTGCCAGCTGCGCCACCTGCTGGCGCCGCTGCGGGCGAGGCGGCCGCCGCTGCGGGCGCCTCCGCCGCCGCGCCGGCACGGGCCGCGTCGCCTGCGGGCGCCGCTGCCGGCGCTGCCGGCGCCCCTGCGCGGGCGGAGGCGGCAGCGGCTGCCGCCAGTCTGGCGCCCGCGCCCGCGGTGCCAGCGGAGGTTGTCGTGGCCGCGGCCCAGCCCGGGCCCCTTCCACCCCCGCCCCCTGTTGGCCCCTCCGCAGCGGGGCGAGAGGCCCGAGGAGGCGGCCCGCGCGGGCGGGCGCGCGCCCAGAGCTGGCGCACCTGCAACATGACCTACACGACGACCCCTAAGTTTCCAGTGGTTTACATTGTCAGCGACGTGCTGAAGCTCAACTACGTCCTCATGTCGAAGTCGGGGTCGTCCACCGTCCGGCAGGTGATGCACTCCAACAGAGGCGGCCAGAAACCCAACTGGAACTACACGGTTTTCACCGTGGTGCGGGACCCGCTGGAACGCACCTTGTCTTGGTTCTTCGAGGGGCGGGGCCAGAGGCACGTCGCGCTGCGCCGGGAGCGGGCATTGCAGCTCTTCGACGAGGCGACTGCCGGGCTCGTGCGCGGGCAAGGCGGCCACGCCCACGGGCAACGGAGCATCCCGCTCGGGGCCGAGCACCCTTACGACTTTGTGGCCACACTGGCGACTCTCGATGCGGACTGGGCCCAGCTGGGGGAGATGCAGAAGCAGCGTTTTGGTATCACGGAGTGGCCTTCATTGCCCCCTCGCGTACGTGATTATCAGAAAATTTACCGATCAGTCCTCAACGCGACTGCGTTGCCTGTCAATCTCAGCCAGCGAATATGCAACGTTTACCGTGACGATTATTGCTGCTTCCAGCTCCAGGTGCCCTCCGCTTGCCGAGTCGATTGTGTCAGCGGTCTCCCTTCAGACCCTCCGCAGCACAGCCATGGCCCACAGTAGCTGTGGCTGCTTTTTGCGCCGGCCTTGGCCGCGCTCGAATTGGCCGCTTCAGCGACTCAGCAGGTCGACGTCAGGCGCACCGTCTCCGTGCATTCGGACATGCACTCCCAGGTTGTCACGATATGCGGGCCTTGGACGAACCCGAGTGGCGTGATCCATCTCCGGGGGGCCCGCCACCTCAAATCCATCGGGCACCCTTTTTTAATGCCCCCTCCCCGGCGCCTCCGAGGGGCTTCCAGACGGCCCAGGAAGCACCCAAGATGTCCATGAGGGCTCCGAGACGCCACGCGATCGGTTCAAGAGAGTCAAGATAGTCCCTAGACGGCCCAAGAGGCTTCCAAGACGCCCCAAGAGGCCTCCATGATGCTTTTTCAAGAGGGCCACAAGAGGCAAACAATGGCTGTTTTTTCCCAGGGCTTTTCAAGATTTTGTGTGGTTCTCACCTTTTCGGCTTTCCGACGCTCCAAGATAGCCGAAGCGGCTCCCGAGATCGCCCAAAGACAGCCCAAGACAGCTCCTATACCGCTGTTTGCAGAAAACAGGGGGGGGTCACTGGGGGGTCATAACCCCTCCCCCCTCCCCCTCTCGAAAACCGAGGGGGGGTCACTACTGGTTCGAACCTCACCCCCAGTCCATCATGAAAAGGAGGGGGGGTCACTGCCGGTTCGAACCCCCCCCCTCCTCGAAAACCAAACGGGGTCACTACCGGACCCCCCTCCCCCCCTCGAAAACCGGGGGGGGTCATTGCCCGTTCGACCCCCCTCCCCCCCGGGAAAAAGTTCTTCTCCGGGAAAAGCTTACTTCTCCGGGAAAAGGGTTATTTCTCCGGGTGAAATGAGGCAAATGCCGGGTCGGTTATTTCTCCAGGTGAGACCCTCGCAGGTTTTCCCGCCTTCCCAAACACCACAAACCAAACGCCAAACACCACCCCCCAAACACCAAACACCAAACACCAAACACCAAACACCAAACACCAAACACCACAAACCAAACACCAAACACCCCCCCCCAAACCCCCAACACCAAACACCAAACACCAAACACCAAACGCCACGCACCAAACACCAAACACCAACCACAAAGTCCCAAACACCAAACACCAAACACCAAACACCAAACACCAACACCAAATACCAAACAACACCCCCCCAAACACCAAACACCAACCCCCAAACACCAAACACCAAACACCAAACACCAAACGACAGACACCAAACACCAAACACCCAACACCAAACCCCAAACACCAAACACCAAACACCAAATACCAAACACCAAACACTGAACACCAAACACGGGACAGCAGACACCAGACACCAAACACCAGACACCCTACTACTACTATCACTACTACTTCTATTATTATTACTACTACTACTACTGATACTTCGACTACTACTAGTAAGATTTTGACAACGAGTACTCTACTTGTACGGCTACTGCTACTACGACTGCTACTACTACTACTACTACTACCACTACTACTACTACGACGACGACAATTATTACTACTATTACTACTACTACTACTACTACTACTACGACGACTACTACTACTATTACTACTAGCACCACTATTTCGACCACCACTGCTCGTGCTACTGCTACTACCACTAATACTGCTACTACTACTTCTACTACTACTACTGCTGCTACTACTACAAATACTACTACTGTTACGACTACGACTAATACTACTACTGCTGCTACTACTACTGCTGCTGCTGCTACTACTACCCCTTGAACTACTAAAACTATTGGAACCATGACACCAACAACAACAACTATTACTACTACTACTGCGACTACTACTACTACCAC